TGTGCAATTCAAATAAATAAAAATAAAATAAAATATTTATAATATATTGTATGCTAGTCAAGTGGTAAAAGTTTTATTCATCTGACATAAATCCAAGGTTCAAATCCTTTCCTTTCATCTATCTCTATTTTTTTTTTTAAATAAAAAAATAGACACAGATAAGGCAAATTTTATAAAAACAATTTAGAAAGATATGGCAATTTTGAAACTATTTCTCATCAATGGAAATTCACTGATAAGAGAAATGGAAGTTCATCTCAAACCAAAACTTCAAAGCATAAAAATTCCTTAAACTTTTTTGCATATGATTTTGTCATTTCCATTCTCTTGTTTAATTGTGTTCTCATTTTATTAATTTTCTTTTTGCTTTTGTGTGTATTCGGAAACAAAACGCAAAAACCAATGAAAAGTTTTTAAAAACACCCATTGCCGTCCCAAAACAGTTTTTCAAAATTGAAAAACAACTTTTTAATATTTCTTAAATAGTGAGTTACTTTCAGATTTTTTTTTCAAAAACAGTTCACCACACAAAATTTATCTTCCAAAAAAAAAAAAAAAAAATAAACACAATCAAACAAAGTCGGATCAGATTTCCCTCATAAGAAACAGGAATCAAAATCAATTGAATGACAAACTACTAGTTTCCTGTACTAACAATATCTTTATAAACATCAAGCATCGGAAACGTTTTGTTCAGACGTTTGAACGAATCTTTAGAAATAGCATTCATTGCAAAGAGCGAATTCGCCATCTCCATGGCCTCAGACCGCCACCCTGCAAAACCAATTCCTTCAATCAACAAAACATAAGTGGTTTCATTTGGCCTGCAGCCCTTCTCCACCATCTCCGCTAACTTGCCAATTGCATCATTAATTCTATGAGCTTTGCACAACCCAAGAATCACAATATTGTAGGTTATAACCGTTAGCTGAAATCCACTCCCCTCCATGTCTTCCAACAACTCGAGTGCCTCATCCACCATTCCATCTCTGCACAAGCAAGACACCAGCGAATTGTATGTAAATTCATCGGGATCAATCCCTTTCTCTATCATCTCTGAAACCATTCTCAACGCCTGAGTCCTATCCCCATTGTTCCACAAAGCACTAAACATAGTGTTGTAAGAACTCACATCTGGAGGACAAGAACCAATTTCTCTAAGTTTCTCAAAGATTTCCATGGCCAGATCAGCATTCCCATTCTTGCACAAAGCAGACAAAATTGTATTGTAGTTCACAATATCTGGCAAGCAACCATTTGAGATCATACAATCGATGAACTCAATCGCCAAATCCAATTTCCCCTCTTTGCATAGTGCTGAAATCAATGGATCATAACTGTAAGTATCTGGACTCAATCCTTTCTCCATCATAAGCTTCAAGACATCAGCCGCTTCATCAATCTTGCCTTCGCGACAAAAGGAGCTTATCAAGATGCTATAAGTAACCACATTTGGCTCACAACCTATGGAATACATTTCAGTTACTAGCTTTTCACCATCATTCCATTTCCTCGCTGTCAATATCGCCCTCAACAACATATTATATGAGATCACATCCGGTTTAAAGCCCTTACCTGGTAAGCTCCTAACGAAGGCAAAAGCTCGATCCAACATTCCTTCCCTACACAATCCCCTAACAATTGCATTATAAGTATACATATCCGGTAGAAGCCCTTTCGATAACATTTCATCGAATAGCTTCATTGCCTCATTTATACCGCCTTCAAGAACAGTTGCCTCTATCAAGATTGTGTAGGTGATCACAGTAGGCTCACAATTATCATCCAACAATTGATCCAAAGCCTTCAAGGCTAATCTCAGCTTCCCTCTACTACAAAGACTTCCAATCATTATATTATATGTGATAATATCGGGTGAAAAACCTCGATCTCTCATCCGATTCAGCACTTGATTAGCTGATTCAATCTGATTTAGCTTACAGAAGCCATTGATCAAAGCATTGTAGGCGAAAACATCAGGATCACCATGTGATTCTAAAATTTCCATAACTCTAATTGCTTTTTTAAAATTTTTGGAATTGAAGAAGCCCTGCATTAGCTTTGTACAAAGAATCACGTCAGGTTTATAACCCTTGTTCTTCACCAAACACTCAAGAAAGTAGAGTGATTCATTGAATTTCCCTGACTTGCAGGACCTATTGAGCAGTTTGATCAAATGGGTCTCTCTGCAACCATGAGATTGCAAAAGGGTAGGTCTTGTTTCAGCACAAACCTTCACTACTTTTGGTGGGTTTCTGGTGATACTGTCATGAGGACTAGGGTTTATGCAGCTCAATAAAGAATTGTGATGAGGATATGGAGTGGGTTTGATCAGCAGCTGAGTACTAAAGGCAAGGCAGTGAGGAAAGAACTCAGCAGAATGGATTGTCATTGGTTAACCGTCAGGGTTAACTCGAATGGTAAGTAGCTCAACTTCATATATCAAAGGTCAGGTTTAAGTCTTGATATCCTACTTCGCTCAATATGTGAGGGCAGTGAATGATTGCACATGTCCTGAATTTACACTATTCCAGTGAGTCAAAAGATCCTACCTAAAATCAATTTTCGTTTATCAAAAAAAAAAATTTGTCATTGGTTGCTAGTTTTGTGGAGCTCATTGCTCATGGCTGCCCATCAATTTTCAAAAATGAGAGAGAGAGAGAGAGAGAGTACCTGTAGTGAGTAGAGGAATATGGAGGCCATGGAAGTTGGCCGTTTGAAGTAGTGGAGCATTTGATACATTTAATAGATTTCCATTGGATATCATTAGATCACATATAGATAAGGTGGTAGTCTGGTTGGCTACTGGGTCGGATCAAACTAACTTAGATCCATAATGCTCGACAGGGTCAGGCCTACAAACCATACACAAATGGCATGATAAGCTATGACTAGGGGTGGGCCGGGCTGAGCTTGTATACTACATCAAGCTTGTCTACTGTGACCATTAAATATTTAAATATAATATTATTTTTATAACTGCATTTTAATCTTAATATTATTTACACCGTGCCTTTAGGCACGGGCATACGCTAGTATATATATATGATTGAACTTATTTACTCATAAGTTTAAAATAATTTTTTTTACGTAATCACTTTTTATTTTGATAATGAGAAAAGTTTAAAACTTTTTAAATGCGTTTTGTATTTGTAAAATGATCATTTGATATTGACAAATTTTGATTGTAAAATGATCATTTGATATTGACAAATTTATCAAATCAAAGTGATAAATGATTTGAGCATTTTAAATTTTGTTTGTGAGTTTTGATTAATTTTTAATTTATTTATGTTAATTAATATTGAAATATGAATGTAAATAGTTGAATTGTATTTTTTAAAATATTTTTACAGTAATAAATTTATTACTAAAAATTGAATAGGACTTTCTAACCCATAAGTATATTAAGTCTGCTATTTGTCAAAACTCTTCACTTTTCTAAATCCGTCTAAAAAATGACTTTTTAATTTTTTTTTCTTTAACTTTTTTTAATTTGGTCCAACTTATTTATTTATTTATTTTCTTTTTATCCAGTGCTACATAACAAATGAACTGAATCATCAAATTGGAGCCAAGGTGAATCTCACGAGCCCAACAATACCCTTGTACAGATTTGGACTCAGAGAGAATCCATTCTCTTTAGGAATATATTGTGAAACAGTCACCAAATTGAAACAAGTCCATTTTAGGAGCATGGATTATAAACACCGACCTAACCAAGGATGTCGCTGATGATTATCATAGCTGTAAATCTAATGTTATGATCATTATATTTCTGATAAACAAAATATGATAAAACAATGTAATCCTTGCAACATTTTGATTCTCTAACTCAGATGAAAACAATACGGCAAGTACTGTTCAATACATGAGCATTGGTATGTAATTTGGATAATAAGGATAAATATATATACCCATCTTAAAATTTAAAAAACAAACAAATTATGAACTTCATAAAATGATAGGAGAGGTTAATCCATATGGAATGGTTAATTAACAGCATCCACTCAAGCTGATCAAGTGAGATAATTTTAATTCAAAAAAACAAAAAAACTTCTGAACAATTTAAAATGTCATATATTCATTATTTGGAGTACATATGATCAAAACAAGCAATAAGAATGTGGAAGGTGATCTTATATTTCTGAAGAAGTCTGATTCTTTTCAACACTACGGTTATTATACGCTTTCGTGTGTACCCTGGAAGGAATGCCAAAGAAAAATCTTTTCTGGGCATACCTTATTTATAATCGTCTTCAGCTCCTCTGCCGGTCACTTCTCTCTAAACTCAATACCCATAAACTCTGAGATTTGCTGATGTGCACAACAAAACAAGTAAAGGAACATCCAATTAAGAACTAGTTGAAATATGAATGATCTGAAAATTCAAAGAAAACTGAAGAAATACCTATTACCTTTGTCAACCACAAAAGGTAAGTCGCAGAAAACATTGCCTGTGCTTGGAAATCTTCGTAGTCATTATCTGGAATAGTTGAGCAGGAACAGACGAGTTCCAACTCAGTATCCATAAAGACACCAATCTCATGATTCATAGTATCTTTATGATCAGAATGGCTGGATATATCATGAATATCAGTCACGAAATGCTTTGTCCAACAAAAGGAGAGGAAGCGGCGATGAAGCCATAAGGCCTGCCAAAGACAATAACAGGCCATAAGGATTATTGCAATAAATCCTATGAGACATGGGTACTCTCAAAATATTGTCTCACCTCTCTCCCTATGTACTGCTTTATCAGCATCTCATTCCAGTCAAGTTCCTCCTGTTGCATCACATGGTAAAAAGACAAGACTCTGTAAACTGTCCCGACATTGATTCCGGTTAGTTTCTACAAGGGTCCAGCAAGACTCCGTAAACTGTCACAACAACTGTCTGCTACAACGGTCCGACATGACCCCATCAACTGTCTTCTACAACGGTCCGACATGACCCCATAAACTGTCTTCTACATCGGTCTGACACCGCCATCCAGTGTCCTCTACAACGTTATGACACCACCATACAGTGTCCTCTACAACGTTATGACACCACCATTAAGTGTCTTCACCAATGGTCTGACACGACCATACAGTGTCTCCTATCCTTTTTTATTTTTATGTATTTTCTTGTTTTGTTCCTCTCTTCAAACTCAAGTTGGTTAGTTGCTATCCTCCTTGAGTTTGCGGGGGGCTGTTAGAATTTACCATAATATATCATCACCTACCACCTCCACTCAACTCACCTACCACACACACTCACCTACTCCCCAATCCTCTCCTATATAATTAGTACCTCACCATCTGTAATTTACACAACAATCTTGTAATCAAATTATCAATCAATAATATACATCAGTTTATTTTACATGGTATCAGAGCAAGGTTGAGAAGCTAATAATTCTGCTTCACCGGCGGGCGGCAGCCTCGCCTTGGCCGCCCGCCGGACCTCTACACTTACCTTCACTCCGCTGTCACAAATTCCATAACTGAACTGAAACTCTTCCTCTCTCTTACTTCTCGGCTCTCTCAGACCATGACTGTCTGAAGGTGGGTTCCAGGAATTCAAGTTGCTAGAGCGACTCGGGGAAGGGAAGAAGCCAACATCGTCTTCTAGTCCAACTCCACCTCCTCTCACTCCATCCACTGGTGTTCTCTCTCCTGTTCTGTCCATTCAAAGCTCAGAAGCGCCGGAAACCCCCTCCGGAATACCACCGCCACAACCGGTGTCGGCCAACTTAACCATCATAACTTAACCATCATCACTATCATCTTCTTCCTCTGATGTTGAGCTAGTATTGAGCAAAATTAAACCATCACTGCAAGGCAAAACAGAGAACCTACTCTTATCTTCATGGAACACCTCTGTTCCTCTCTGTCAAATGGGTTTTCACCAACGGTTCTTCTCTTGTCTGCAACGACCTCTCTTCTCCACAGTGGACCAACCTTTCTCTTTCCAAAGACCCATCTCTCCACCTTCTCTCTCTACAACTCCCTTCGGCTAGACTCTCAGGAACACTCCCAAGAGAGCTCGGCGAGCTCTCAAAATCCAAACGAACCTGGTGGAGACAGCGTTGGCTCTCGGGGCTACCCCACGCCAGGCGACAATTCAACAGGTGAGAAGGGCTCTGGTCATTTCCCTCTCCCCGGTATTGGACAATGCCAAAACCGTGGGCCTCATATCACTCCTCGGCCGCTGCTGCAGATTGTGTTGAACATGGCTTTTCTCTCACTAATCTCACCGAAGCATCTCAGATCTGCATATGATGCTCTGTGAGATGACAAATAAAAAAAAATAAAAAAAAAAAAAAAAAAAAAAAAAGTACAAATCATCTCAAAATTATTTTCAAAACTCATGACCAAACAAATTTTCAATTTTCAAACTTCTTTCAACAACTTATCTTTCAAAATACAACTCAAAACTCAAAACTCTTTTCAAAAACTAAACCAAACGGAGCCTAAAGATTCAAATATGATAATTTCTCCATGGATGCACCAGTGCTGGCACATATAACAATGAACAAGCAACAAAAATAATAAGAAATAAAGGGGAAATTTGATCGAAACTCTGAAAAAGAATACAAACAAGACAGATATACAATGGTGAGCACCATACTTTGAAGAACATGAAGGCCAACATACCACAACTTCCAAAAACCTAACTATTCTAGTGTATATTTCAGAATTAGTGGAATGAAAATTAACACAGAAAAGTAAAGCAATGGTTTCAAAATGCTAGTAAAATCCGGAAAGTTTAGAATCTTACCTGTCCTCCTGACATATGGGAAACTAACCAGCATCGGTGATTCCATGCACGATAATTCATTTTTGATTTCTGCAGAGAAAAAAGAGAACCATATTAATAAAAGAGCCTTTCTTTTGGCCCTTTTGAAGCCACAATAGCTAAATTTTATTGTGTAACATCTGATGGAGACATTAAACCTTGTGAAAACCTAGAGAACATTTGACGGATATAATTCAGAAGATTCAGCTCAAGAAGGAACCTCAACTGAAAATTCAATAAGCAGTTCCTTGGACAATCTAAAGCAATTGAACTAAATTCTGAAATGGCGCTCTAAAAATCCAATACTTTATGCTCGTAGCACAAGATGACAAGATCACTTCAGCAGAATTATGAAGTAGACAAGAGATTTCAAATGGAGGAGTATATGAGCTAATATTATTTTAAAGAATCAAAGGGGAAAGTAGAGCCCCTTTGGGAACAACATACTGGCCTAAACGGAAAAAAAAAAAAAAAGACAAAATAAAATGAAATAATGAAGCCTTGGTCATTTAAAGATTAAATGCATTTAGTTCCTGAATGAAAATAACCTCAGCTATTTTTTTCACTATTTCAGATTCTTTTTCCACAATCCCTTGCAGATTTGAACTCTTTCCATCAATCATCTTGATCACCCATCACCTATCAATAATTGACTTCAATAAGAATCCACTTAACAACAAGAAAAATACAAATAACTATCTAGAAAAACATATCAAAACCTTCAAATGCAGGAAAACACGCATGTACATATATATACACATACATATACAGTTATCCCAGTCAAATCACAGATACACTAGTGCAGGAGATCATGGACAAATAGCCTAATTTTGTCCTCACAAAGTCTTTTTTTTGGGGTCAACCAACAACAAATACTTTTATCAGTGCATTGCCTACTTAAGTGTAAAGCAACTCCGCTTAAATAAAATTGCCATTACCTATGGCTCCAAGAGCATTCACTTTTAGGCGCATATGAGAGAACCAATGCAGACAATAACAGTTCATCCACAAATATTTGA